ATGCATGGTGTGCTTGTGTCACATCTCAGGGGGCTAGCTGGGCGGTACTTTCACAGCTGCCGATAGAGGACCGAGCGTGAGGCGACTAGATGGATGGCGAGAAAGCGTACGACGGTTGGCTAGTACAATAACACCAAAGACAAAATTGGAAAGCAAAGAGAAGAGGAAAAGAGGCTCAGAATATAGGCTAGGCTCTACGACTACTTACTCGTTGACCTGCTACAGTGACACTACGACGCGTTACAGGTGGCTAACATAAAATGTTTATATATGTCATTTAAAACAAACCTAGACACTACATTCATAAATGGTTAATGAACACTCCATTCAAAAATAAAACCACTTGATAAATTAGTTGATGTAAACTTACCATTTCGAAGGTTTTCATTTCAACATTAGGATGGTGAATACTGACAAAAGTGGGAAGATTTCAAAGTACACAGTATTCCCCATCTTTGCACATGTTTCTTACCTCAAAATAAACGGTAAATAGAACTGATTTTATTCTCTCCTGTTAAGATTTATGTAGAGGTCAGGTGTGACGTGTACCCCTGAGAATTGAAGCACCACCCTCCCTTACATCTTCCATTTATACATTTTCACCTTCACTATCAACATGGCCAACTTTCAGCCTAGCCTACCGTACAACCCTCACCAGCTTATGGGCCTATCTGGTTGGTTAGAATCCCGGTCCGGGAATTATATCTGTACCTAATTGAGAGTCGATTCACCTATTCGTAAGTTATACGTTGCTATTTTTATTTTATGATGATTAATGTAGAATCACGATTGCTTTGGTACAAGTTGTGCTGCCCACCGCCTTAATTCTCACATCTTAGACCGTGCGTTGAAATAGGTATCGTCAGCTCGACTTTAAACAGTGATTTCTGCATTAACAAGATGCATGACAAATTTTCTTCACCGAGACTATAGTGTCCGTGCTGGTGTGTATTCTGAGCACTCTGGAGTCCATCACTTGAGCGTGGTTTACCAAGGCCGTCCTATTTCATGATTTGTTTTCTGTCCTTTGATCGAACTAATCATGCGTGACTGTCCATCCTTCAGTTTATGAAGCAGTCTCCAGCAGGTGACCTGTTGCTATAACTAGAGTACACTCTTATGCAAGCACAGTTCAGTGGGTTGGCTTAGCTTGCCTCGCACCTTCCAAGTGCAAGGTGTCGTTGAATGATTGCATGGACACACCACTCTTATCATCATCACGGAATGCTTATTGGAAGCGTCCGGATGGTCCTCTTGCCTAGATAGAATCATCACCAGTATTAGTCAACTTACTGCAAAAATCTGGTAGCGTACTGCGATGAGACCAGTGCTATCTCTTGACATCTCGGTCGTCTATGGAGATAGCATGTTGCAGTGTCGCAATACACAAATGCGTTGTGCAGCACTTGAACTATGAATGACTGCCATGCGTTGAAAGCGTCAAGAGATGAAACCTAAACGTTTTCAGGATATCGCCCGAATTTGGTGTGACCACTGACATTCATTCTGGAATGCAACAGTTGACGGCCACTGACAAGCCAGGTGGTTCCGTATTGTACTGTAATACTCGAATTGCACTTTCTACCCCTCGCACCTCTTCCGGCTACTGCTAAACTAAGAGGACTCAGTCACAAAAGAGAAGCACAACGAAACTAGCTAAATGTTTATGTCCAGGTGTGCCTATTGGAAGTTGGTAGGCAAGTCATCGCGCGCCGACCGGATACAAACTATGCAGGTTGGTCAAGTTGTCATTCAAATAGCGTCTGACCATCCGACCCGGTGTGCTGTTCGACTGATGTTTCCTCTAGTCAGATAAAACCTCGTGTTACCCAATCGAAAATATAGTAAACAAATGTGGAGAAACCAACAGGAATGATGCGTGAATTCCTCACGGCCGTAGCTCTCGGGATGGGCAAGAGACATGTTTAGAACTAAACAGAAATGGCGAAATGTCAGTGAGAACATTGTATTTATAATACGGCCTCCGAAGTTACGGTCAATTCCATGATTACAGTGTACTTATCTACTTCTCCAAATAGTTAAACGTTGTCCACATTTCCCTTCGAATCATCAGGTTGCCACAGCACAAATCAATTCGATTGAACCAGTTAGGAGGGTACGCATTCCCGAGCTCATACAAGCTTACTATCCGAATTGGGTTCACCCAGCTAGCTGCGCCGAAAACCCGAACGAGCTGAGCCCAACGTCAACCCGGCTTATGCCTATAACGCACCGGAAGGACCAACAGACCAGTGTTAATTTGAAATCAGAACCCAAGAGCGAACATGAATTCGGCTAGTGCAAGCTGCACAGTGTGAATTCTTTCACCCGCATTGGTTCGCGTTCTGTTCTCAGAATAAACTCGTTTTTCGTGTACTCGCCATGCTCGTCGTTCATAGATAGGAATTGGCTTACGCTCTACTCTAGCAGTGTCTGGCATAACAGATTTGGCGACGGCAAATCACGCAACATGTAATAACTGCAGAGGAGTTAAAGACAATCATGTATCAACAGCAAACTCAGTTCGAAGCGATCCAGATGCGAATAGTGGAAAGTTTGATGCGTCAATTCAGCATTAAATTAGTAATTTCTGTCGCGACCGAAACGTTGAAAACAGAATCACGGAGTTGCACTATGAACCTTATGTAGTGCTGGTTTTTGAATCGTGGTTCAAACGACATGAGGACATTTTCAAAATCGAACAAACACAGAAAGACGATGCATGGCGAGTCAGACTGTTACTGAGGAAGCTTCGTACAACTGAGCACACACGATACACTAATTTTAGTTTGCCAAGGAACGCCAGTGATCTTACTTTTGACGAAACCGTACGCCAGCTATCGAAAATTTTCGGTGAAGATTCTTCCGTTTAATACCCGATACCAATGCATGAAACTTACAAAAGAGGAGGTGAATATTTCATCACACAGCTGGTAGAAGCAGGTGCGAATGCGAACAATTCAAACTGTCTAATATGACAGAAGATCAATTCATGTGTCTGATTTTCATTCGCGGTCTCCAGTCGCAATCCGATAGTGTTAACAGAACCAGGTTATTGAGCAAGACTGAAATGTCCCCAGATATTACGCTACAGCAGATAACGCATGAATGTAAGGGTTTGGTATACCTCAAGCACGATACAATCGTGTTGGAACGTTCATCGTCCAACTCCAGTTACAGTCCAGTCACAAAAATATGCTTAAGACACCTGCCAGAACAGCAGCAGATGTCGTAGCGAAACCGCCATCCGCGTACTGGCAGTGTGCCGAATGGAAGTTCGTAAAGTTCTGCCCCTATACGAAGTGCACGTGCTCAGTATGCAACCGACGCAGCCACAAAGAAAATCAATGCCGAACAAGGAAACGTGTCCAGACACCTAGTTAAAGACGTCGAACGGTCAGTCGCTCACATAGGACCGAGCCCAAATTCAACGCCGTCCTTGCGACAAGTGATCCTAATTCTAAACGCCACTGCGAATACGTGACTGCGATAATAAAAGGAATAACAGTTCGTTTGCAATTTGATATGGCGTCCGATATAACGAATCTGTAAAAAGTACCTGGAAGAAACTGGGGTCGCAAGGACATCGTTGGACTAGTAATACGGCCAGAAATGCATCCGGCGGTAAAAACAAATTGCTTGGTGAATTTGATTGTGAGCTGGCAATATCAGGCAAGCGCGATCATGGTGCTATTTACCTAATTGGTTGTGAGCTCAAAATTCTTGGCATTGACTGGATTGATAGCTTGGGACTTTGCGACATGCCCATCAACAAATACTCATATCCTGAGAGTCGAATCTAGCTGAAACAAATACACTACGCAAGTCCAGAGGGAGGGAACGACAGCGGAAATACTGGATACATCCCTACTGAACTCCAAATCCGCAAAGTCCGAGCGGCTGTTTCCCCGCCGAAACCTTAATGGACGGGAAATAACGTCTAGGACATGATGTTTTCCGACCAGTTTTGGACAGGCCATCGATGGTAACACAAGAAAAACGTACGTTGCGATCAGGAAATCGTGTGTTAGTTAAAGACTATCGCTGTGGTCATGAAAAGTGGGATGTCTGATCATTAAAGGACGTATTGGGCGTGTCTTGTACAAGGTGCAGGTGGGTCGGTTGCGGTGGAGGCGCCACGTTAACCAACTCCGCCGAACATTTTGTTGTGATCCACAGAGCGGTGATGGATCTCTTAGTCCTGATCTTCTGTTGGAGGCGTTCGAAATGGGAAGGCCTACTGAAGCCGGAACGGCATGTAACCTAGATCCGACAACAGATAACATGCCCCAGAAAAGATGCAAATCTAGACGTAGGTGTAAGCCAGTAATTCCGTTGCAACTTGATGCAAGACGGAGGTCTTACATCGAACAATCTAAGGGGGAAGTGTTAAGAGGGTACATTTTGATAAGCGCAAACCAGCGGAATACTGATTCGCGTTCACTCAGCTAGCTGCGCCGAAAACCCGAACGAGCTGAGCCCAACGTCAACCCGGCTTATGCCTATAACGCACCGGAAGGACCAACAGACCAGTGTTGATTTGAAACCAGGACCCATGATCGAACGTGCATTCGGCTAGTGCAAGCTGCACAGTGTGAATTCTTTCACCCGCCTTGGTTCACGTTCTGCTCTCATAATAAAACTCCGGTTTTTCGTGTACTCGCCCAGCTCGTTCTTCATAGATAGGAATTGGCTTACGCTTTAATCTAACAGTGTACAACACAACAGAATTCGTCGCATGTTGGTTTGCGAATAATGATTGGTCAAATGGAATGAGATGTAACGTGAGCCGAGGAATCCGTCAGAGAGCTAAAGGCCTCTTGAGGCCAATGGGAAGTCAACAGTGCCAATGCAGCAAATGTCCCACACAGCTATCGCCATGTTGAATAGCGTGAACAATAGGTGATTTCCACAATGTCTCAGATTGAGATGAGATGAACAACACTTATTTTTCAGGATATATTACAAAGGGGAAATTATTGTACAACAGGGAAATGGAATCAGTTAGTTGAAACTGAAGATTTCATATACTTGGGACGTGCTTTAGGCCCCCAGAATTTTTCAGGGTTTAACTGAAATCTGAGAAAAGGAACAAGAGTAGTGAAACTGTAAGTAGGAGATTTCAAGTGGGTAACAGACATGATCCGAAAAAGTAAGTACAAGCATGCTACGTTCAGTTTATCGCTGGGTCAATGAAAAAGCTAGATTATGGGATTCTGTGGCATTTTGCTAAGGACGAGGCTTGAAATCTTAAAGATAACGAGAAGTATGGTTGGATCTTATTTAAAATGGGAAGGGGATATCACGTTTTGCTTACATGACATATAACAAGAAAACGAGTTTAACAGTTCGATGGAAACAATGCGTGTAATGGTACACCTCAACTATAAAGCAATGATTGTGCAGATGAAAGGATACTGTTAGGACACCCAAAGCTCAAACAAGGCTTAAGTGTATAACACTTGGCAGAAGAGCAGCAGGAACATGACCTTCAAGGCGAGTTGTCTTCACCGCGGAGACGTGAACAATTGGCAGGTTAGATTTGACGCACCACTTTGGTGAAAGAAGCTCACAAGGAGCCAGTACAGTGTAGCGGCCCAGCTGTAAACGAATTGCTATACCATATTGAGGTCCAGGCTGTCCGCGAGGCCTGCGGCGAATTCGAGACGCGGTTTTGGAGTGAAGGAGTAAAAATACATACGTTAGGTAGTTCTGCCTAAGTCAGTATATTGATGGTATCCTAACCCATATGATCGCATAACAGTGAGGCGTCGATACGGAGCGCTAATACCTTGTATGTTATCGCTGTTCTAGAAACTGAACAAAAAAGCTGGATTTCAAATCTGAACCTATTGCAAATGTATAGATAAAAAACGGACACTGATGCAGACTAACCTAACCAGCTTATCGACTCTGGAAGGCGGATTGGCGTCTGGATGTATGCTGAAGTCAACAGTGCCGCTGATAGGCTGTGCTAACAGAGCCGTTCTAACACGACCACGTAAGGTGACCAAGTCTGTTCCATCGGTAGAAGAGTTTCGACGCTTCAAACGGCGTCGCTTCATCGGGGAGTCTTTTTCCAATGGCGCCACGGCGCTCCCATTTTCCACGCAAGTGTCGGATGCAGTATCATTATCAGAGGAATCGGATGAGATCTTTTCGGCATCTTGCAGTCGCTGTCTAAATGTTCGAAAAACATCCCAAATAAACGACATAGGGGCGTTTGTTTTGAAAGAACTCCGCTCCGCATGAGAGGCTGATATACGATAGCCTGCGTTCAGAAAAGCAGAGCTGAAAGAGTAGGAAAGAAAATCATGGGAAAATATTTCTAACGAGTGCTTATACCTGTGGTCAGGTGTTACACAGACGGAAGAGTGTGACAACATATGTTTGTTTTTTACGGAGGGAACTACAATCAAGTTCAAGTGTCTTATGGGACGGGGATATCTGTATGCAGGAACGAGTAAAGAATCCTCGTTCAAAGGTGGCCTTTTCGATTTTGTGTGTGCTGATATCCGGGAACAGTGGGTACAGTCGTCCACGGGTGACTGATTAGATTTGATGATTGGGGGTTGGTTGGTTGACATTAGTCCCGTCATGAATTGGTGCGCCTGCTCTCGTAGAATGTGGCGCAGCAAGTACACGCAGCAACACGTCTTAATGTTAGCCTCATAGTTCAAAGGCCGGATAAGAATGATAAACAGCAGTTACGTGACTGTATGACGGTGAGATCTGGGAAGCACCCACGATCAAAGAATAGGAGGAGAAAGCGTGACAATTTTGTTGTACTGATAGTTAAACAACATGAACTATACGAAACATGGAACATTCACAATGTACGCCATAAAGTTGAAAAAATTCACCAGAATCTTAGTTAGAGCTAGCAGCATCTCGCCCCGAATGACGCGTACTGCATAAAGGAACCCTTGAGTGCGATGCTTTCGAATGGAATGCAGTAAAAGTCAAAATTCGATCGATCCGTGTGGGTGTCTATGAAGTGAGTAAGTCCAAGCTCCGTACATGAATAAGATAAAGCTTGGTGAAAGTTGGATTTGTTTACGTAGTGGATAGCAAGAGAAAAACGCACATAGCCTACGAAGGCTAAAAGCGTTGTAAGGTTCGTGATATCACCTTCCGTTCCACTAACGCTGATATAGTTGCCCAGATACTTGAATTTATCAAGGATCTTTAAATTAACACCACTAAGGCAAAATGCAAGAGTGGGTCCCAGCCAATCTTGGAGAAGAACTTTGCATTTCGATGATGCAAAGTATAGCCCGAAATGACTGACAGCCAGAGCTAGTTTATCCACTTCATATTCGACAAATGCTGTTAAGTTGTCAGCTCGCTAGGAGCACAACACCGTTCAACAAAAAACTTAATATATGTGAAGCGCCGTGTATCGAAGTATCCAAAAGAGCAAGCATAGCTGTCAGGTCAAACCTAAAGAAGAGCATACCGTTCGTGCGGGTGGTGATTCTCATTTGATCATCAGGAAGAGCGTGCGGTCTAGATGAAAGCAGATACCTAGGTTGCGATGTGTCATTTCGATTGTTCTCATTAGTCGCAAACAATAGATCCGGAAAAGATGCACGGCTTGTTGGTGTTGCGCCGCAAGCTGGATGTGGAACGCACAATGATAAAAAATTGTGAAGGATGTACCCGATCATGCTGTTTGTTGTCATGATTAGTAAATACTGTCGAGAGATGTTACCTGTAAACGACACCAAGTTGACCAAAATCGCGTCGGCATAAATCGAGGCATCTGGAACGAGAAAAAGTTCTTCAAGACAGTGACAGTTCATTGACAAGCTCCATGAACTATCCTTGGTTTACCGCGGCCTGCGCAACCTGAAGGGTTCTCTTGCAAGGGCTAAAAATGCTTCATTCCCTACTGAGTACCCGAGGCACATATATAATCTATCATCTGTTCAGACCAAACGCACACAGTTAGAAGTTCTTTCGCTTGGAATGAAATATAGATTGCGACTAAAGAGAATAAACTGGTTCCGCACGCAGCCCCATGCTGAGTAGCTGTATGAGCAGCTCAGTAAACCCTCGCCAAGATCGACGGAATATGTGCGTTGGGTTCGGGCTAAATTGGTGGATATCGCGAACCAATTTCTGAGTACGCCGATAAGGCAGAGGTGTTATCCGAAAGCCGGGCATCATACGATGGTCACAGAGTCAAAAAAAGGGAAACGCAAACTATGTGTAGCTAGACAAAGTATCATTCGTTGTGATAATGACTGTATTTCTATGATGTAGTTTATTCTGAGGGATAGACATAAGCCCCAGCTAGATGAAACACGGGAGAATGACGTTATGGTAGAAAAGCAAGTGGTAAAGGAAGACTACAGTTCCTCTTACTAAACTGATACATTACCGACTCGCAATAAATGCAGTTGAAATCCACTAGGATGCAAACACCGAGAATGAGGGGCACGCCCAAATTGAACCAGCCAGGTAGCCAAACGTATGAATACATCGCCCTATCACAACGTTGCTCGGTGGAGAGCGAAGGTCTTAGACACGGTGCCTAAAAGCTTGGCTATGCACTAGCCCAGCGGAGACGCTGAGACCATCATCACTGGGTTCGAAGCTAATGCAAAGGTAATGGTCGACAATGTGTGCGATTTCTTTCTGAGGCAAAACATTCTGTGGGTCTCTTTTTGGAATACCTGATGGATATTATTCTGTGAATAGAAAACGTACGTTTCGAATTTGAGGGGACGGTAGGTGTGCTGATCAACAACGTCGCCATGTACCAGTCCCGGCAGACATCGTTTTCAGCCTGATCGAAAGGCAAATTTCTGCCTGCATTGGCGAAGCGAAGTTGACAAACAGCATATAGTTGACATTTTGGTATTCACGGATAGTCAACATTTTGTTCCGCTGTCCATTACTCGGAATTCAATTCGCGCCGACATACCGGGATCCCATGAGATAGAGTGACGCGACAATCTGGGGTGAACAGTACCTGTCCATTTTCAACTGCGTTCCAGTTGCATTAAAATGCGGCTTAGTAAAAACTCTCATCTACATAGCAGACGAATTTGCAGCCCGAGAATGTCGGAAGTTGAGTTTCTTCAAAGGAACTTAGTTTCAAACGGGGCTCGCGAAAAGTTCATATAAGACCACAACAGGCTCACTAAAACTGTTAATGCTAACGGCCGTTTACGAGTATCAAGTTGTAGACAATACCGGACAAAAGTTCAGGTTCACCTTAGTGCGCACCTGCACGACTACCTAGTTGTGCCACATGCACACTACTCAGAAACTTGTTCTTCATGACCGTCAGAGCAGCTCATTGGCTAGCTCGGCCTCATACGTAGGTTATCAGTGCATTCGCAGTTGCTTTCCTATTTACATGGACAGAAATAACCACTGGTTAGCTCAGAGAGCAGCCAAATATTTGGCAAAGTGGCTGGGGCATGTGATGACGCAAAAAGGGGCGGGTCCGAGGATGAACCAGAGCGCAGCATCAACAGACACCAAGAGCATCATGACAACTGGTCATGATGTGAACGCGGAGATCGTGTTTAAAGTGCCATCAGAGAGGCGTCACTAAGTAGCACAGCAACTCGCGCTACGTGCATAGAGACTCTTGTGGAGATCAATTAAGTTGCCTTGGTCTTCATTAGAACACGCGGGTCGGTATTGTTAATTGTTCCATACAAATAACCGTGTATGTATTCTGCGTGTATCGTGTTTGCGACTGAGGAAAACAATCGGAATGTTACTAGATTGTAGCCTGTAATGTCCCTGATTTGAAAAAGTGGCTAAAGGGGACATACTACAGCATTATAGAAGAAACCAATAGGGTAATCATATACAGTCATGTGCCCATATACGGATGGATACATGTTATTACGACTACCAGAAAGGATATCAGATCTGTTATTTGCCATTGGCCTAATACCTGATTCTCCTGATATGCTGGAACACTTTCTTGGTAGTGACAACAGAGTGGTCTTTCCATTCACAAATAACACCCAACTCCCAATAACGAATGCGCCCAAATCACAGATGCTCTCAAGGCACTGTGAATCACTTGATTGGGGATCTTTTGCTAATTTATGCAGGCATGTTCAGTGAGGTTTTTTCTTCAGCGCCGACGACCTGCAAGCCGCAACTGATGCTCTATACAACAACATATATCTCCGTCTCAACACATTGGCTCTTATCAAACATAGACACTTTCCCCCAGGTCGCGAAAAGACTGTTTCACGAAATACAGCAGCAAAGCACAAAAGCTGCTTACGGCATATCGCAAAACGATTAACTCCTCGTTCATGATGTAACACCATAATTTGGCCACATCGCTGAAACTAGCTTATCACACAAAACAAATCGTTGATGAAAAACGGGCCCTCGACAGTCGATTCAGTGAACTGAGCGGACTTTTAAATCGCAAAACTACCAAGCGTATCCAAGGCAGAATCTCACTTGCAGCAGCGGGTGGCTGCAACGTAAAGGATGCTGCTCAAACTAGCGTAAGGTTAAACCATGATTTCTGCGCTTCCTTCAAAGTGGATACTGAACGCATATGCATGGTCTTGCTACTGGTCACAGTTGATCAGCGCAACTGTATCAGACTTGAGCTCCACGGTATACACAAAGTTACCAGGTGCACAAAATTAGAATAGTTGTTAAATTGGACAGGGATGACATCCCCCTGATATTGCTGAGTATGTTCAATCCATCCATGAACACCGGCACCGTACCAGCTCGGTGGAAAGAAGCCATAATTGTGCCACGGCATAAATCAGGCACTCTTTTCGAGCTTAAAAATAAGCGCCGATAAACCACACATCAATCTTATAAAAATTATGAAGCGACATAACAAAGCGAAAACTATCGAATTCCTACGGTAAAGGAAGCGAATAAACAACTCTCAACAGGGCTTCGTGGATAATCGGTCTTGCATAACGTGCCACCTGGAATGTCTAAACCATATAAGTGATTTGCATGACCATGGTATATCGGCAACTACAATTCACCTCGATATGCGCAAAACCTTTCGTCAGGTGCTTTGTGAAAAAATAGCTACAATGAATTGTCCTACGGGATCGGTGGACACCTGCTTTCTTGGTTCAGGTCTTACCTTAGAAATCGAACGCAGGTGGCACAAATTCAATAATACAAGCCTACATCTGTCACTAGTGTAGTACAAAGAAGTGTACTTGGGATGCTACTGTTCTAAATATTTGTTAATGACATCCTCGAGGTAGTGAAATTTAGTACAACATACATGTTTGCCGATAACATCAAAATCGTACACACCATCC